GGGTCTTGAGCGCCTGCCCCGCACAGCTGGCCAGCGGAGAGCCCCGCGCCGCCACCCCCGGTCCGGGATTCCCTCTCCGCTCCTCTTTGCTCCCGCGATGGGAAAAGTTGGCGCCGGCGGCGGCTCCCCATCCGGGCTGAGCGCGCTACTTGCCGGCGTGGGGCTCTTGATCCTCTGCGCCCCGGGCGCCTGCGGCGGCGACTCCTGCTGTCCCCTGCGGCACCCCAGCTCGGCCCCACACTGGGCTCCGACCCCAGGGGGACTTCCTCACCAGGGCTCGCGAGGTAGAGCTCCTGCCACGCCCCTGCCCCTGCTTGGACGCCCCCTGTTCGCAGTGGCCCCCGGAGACCGAGCGCTGTCCCTGGAGCGGATCCCGGGCACCGGGACGTTGGTGGAGGTTGCTCAGCGCTCTGGCCGGAGGAGACGGAGTGGAGAAGATCAGAAGGCAGAACGGGGAGGGGGCGCGAGTAGAAGCCCCCGGGGAGTGTTAAAGGACAGAGGGCAGCAGGAGCCTGGGACTCTGGAGCGGGACCCGGACAAAGCCACTCGCTTCCGGCTGGAGGAGCTGAGACTGACCAGCACCACATTCGCTCTGACAGGCGACTCAGCACATAATCAAGCCATGGTCCATTGGTCTGGCCACAACAGCAGCGTGAGTAGAATGGGACTGAGGGCAAAAGGGTGAAAGATGGAAGGGGTTAAAGGCCGCTGTGTGATCTGATGGAGAATCAGGGGAAATGGGGTTTCTGGACTTGAAAGATGCTGCAAACTAAAGTCTTCCCTGTTCACCTCCCCCAGGAGTTAATATCAAGTCACCTACTAGGAGACCACCCCCATCCGTTTCCCACCAGCATCATCCGAGTCCTCTCCAAACCTCTAAAAAAGCTTCATACAGGGCAGGCAGATCTCTCTTTCCGGTTTCTTCCGTCTTGTTGGTGTAGGGCAGAGCCTAAGAGGAGGAGGCAGGTGGAGGGGTTAAAGTATTATGAACGCGGAAGTGAAAGGGTTAAATTTCCAAGCAGGCTGGCATTCCCTCAAGTGACTTTCCCATTACTTGCTAGACTTGAGGATGAGTGCAAGTTAGATTTAAAAAAGTCTTTATTTGTAGGTTTTTAATTTTATTTTTATGCAGAGCTCCTAACCCCCTCTGCCCCAC